TTGCTGTGATGATTTGCTTCCCTGATGGTCTATAGTCTGCCTGTTAATAGCAGTTTACTAATGTGTTGTTGGCATGGAATCACAGGAAAGCCTGATTGTTTTTTTTCCTGTTGTGAACTTCACAGTAGTTCATCTAATGGTCTTCTGTTAACTTTAACCAATACACTTACTCTACCAGCTGTGAGGGACATATTTGTGAAGGCCTTTTGATTGACAACACAAAGAGCAATGGAGGCCAGATTTTAACAAGGACAGCTTCCCATTCTATCCACAAAGCAGTCAATAAAAATGAGAGTTGGATTCAGAAAACTATTTTTTCACCCCAGGGTTCGACGCCAGCTTACTCATGACATTGGAAGTTGTCACGGGGGTAAACTGAGGCCTATACATAGGTGTATACATTGTTTTGAGCCATGGCTACCACTGCAATACATAGCCCCAATTTGATTTTGTTTCAGTAATCATTTCATACTGGACTAGCTTTCTCAGTATGGCATGAGTTGCACTGGTGAAGTAGCAACTGGAGATTTGGGTATATCTGTCACAGTGATATATGGACAAGGGAGTCCATTCCTTCAGGAAAGCTGAGAAAAGGTGGATTGAGAAGATATAAATCAATATAGTGGCCAGATTCAAAGAACTGAACTCCTCTACCTGGTTGTATATCAAAGAAAATTGCAGGTTTTATCACTTGACAAACTACACCTGCCAAAACGTTATACAACTATAAGAAACCTGTCCCTCTTTGCATTTCATCACAGCAAAGGGTTTGCTACAATATGTATTATTATTATTATTATTATTATTATTATTATTATTATTAAACTGATGGCAAACATAGTATTCATTCTTGCATCCTGATAGAAAGAATGACTCTGAATGTAAGAAGCACATCTTGTGCTTAAAAAATCAACATCAAAAACAGGCCACCCAAAAAATGAACAACATAGTAAACAACTGGGCAAACAAAATAGGAAGGGGAAAATACGATCCTTGGGGTCCATTCCAACCCTATGATTCTAGGAAAGAAAAAGAGCCTGAATGAGCATATGGAGCTGTCTGTTAGTGAGTCAAGCCATTGTTCCACCTAACCCAGCTCTGTATACTCTGACTGGCAACAGCTCTCTCAGAGGTCTGTGGAAGAGGCCTTTCTTTAGCCTTTGACATGCCAGGGATTGAACCTCAAGTCTTATGTGTGAAGAGTATGTGCCCTACCACAGGGCAATGAGCCACACACAAGTTGATTATGCTTGAATAGACCTCACTTCAGAAAGAGACTCACATTTTGTCTGCTATAGAGTTACAGTGGTACCTCTGGTTACAAACTTAGCTCATTCCGGAGGCCCGTTCTTAACCTGAAACCGTTCTTAACCTGAGGTACCACTTTAGCTATTGGGGCCTCCCACTGCTGCCGCGCCACCAGTGTGCGATTTCTGTTCTCATCCTGAGGTAAAGTTCTTAACCCGAGGTACTACTTCCGAGTTAGTGGAGTCTGCAACCCGAAGTGTTTGTAACCTGAGGTGTTTGTAACCCGAGGTACCACTGTATTTAGGAGAACAAGGCATCTCAGGGAGCACATGTCCTGAGCTAAAGAGGAAATATCATGAGAGGGAAGGAACACATCAGCCTCTGTGCAGTCTTCTAATTAGGCAATGTTTGCTGTTTCTTTTACTTCTGGGAATGCTCTTTGGCATCAGGCCCCTGAGCTTGTGATCCAAGTGGAAGAGAGAGAAAGTTACTGCTTGCTGCTGAAGTAACTGTTTTTCCAAGCTCTGGTCAATGAGCCCTTCTGAACTCCATTTATAAGCTTGCTGAATGTTCCTGTTTTCCTGAAAAAGGATGTGTTGGCATATCGTGGTGAGCACGTAACTGGGTTCAAGACTTTAGCATATGCTGTGAAATTTGAATGGTTGTCAAGCATTCAAAGAATCACATTTTGCATGAAGACCCGAGCAAGGGTTAGGTTTCCTGGCTCATAAAACTAGTTACACTTTATGCAAGGTTGTTCCCTGAACTTGCAATATGGATGAGAAGAAAGAGGACGAGTGTATATTTGGATCTGGGAATTATTTGCAGGAGAAAGGCAATTTACAGGAGAGAGTCATAGAATTGTGGAATTGGAAGGATCTCGAAGGGTCATCCAGCCCAGCCCACTGCAATGCAGGAAGTGCAACTAAAGAATCTCTGGTAGCTAACTATCCAACCTCTGTTTAAAAACTTCCAATGAAGGAAAGCCCACCACCTTCCAAGATCTATTCTTACACTGTCAAACAGCTCTTACCACCAGAAATTTCTTCCTGATGTCTAGTCAGAATCTTCTTTCTTGTAACTTGAATCCTTTAGTTCGGGCTCTACCCTCCAGAGCAAGAAAAATCAAGCCTGTTCCACAGTGGCGTAGCGTGGGGGGTGCAGGGGGGCCAGCCGCACCAGGCGCAACATCGGGGGGGGCGCGCTCACCGCCTCCGGAGTCGCCGAAGAGCCTCGGGTGCAGGCTATAGCAGAGCCCCATGTCTCGTGGAACCGACGAGCTGGCAGCGGCTCTCAGCACTCACCGTGGTCCCCGCGCGTCAGGGCTGCGGAGGGCGCGCCAGGCAGCCCCTCCTCACAGCCCCGCCGCCACCGCCGCTGCTGCTGCAGCTGCTGGGCCATGTTGCATTTTCCTCGCCTCTCTGCCCTCCTCCTCCTCCGGGCAAGCGGCATCGTTTGGGCAGCAGCGCCAGCGGCAACTCACCTCAGATCACCGGAAACAGACCCCCACCGCCGCCGTGGCTACCTTACCGTAAAGAAGAAGCTGGCAGCGGCGGCAGGTTAGGGGGCGCAAATTACTTGCCTTGCCCCGGGTTAGGGGGCACAAATTACTTGCCTTGCCCCGGGTTAGGGGCACAAATTACTTGCCTTGCCCCGGGTTAGGGGGCGCAAATTACTTGCCTTGCCCCAGGTGCTGACAACCCATGCTACGCCGCTGCTGTTCCATCTTCCATGTGTCAGCTCTTTCGATAACTATCATAGCTCATCTTATCCAAGCTCAACATACCCAGCTCCCTCAACTGTTCCTCGTAAGGCTTGGCTTCCAGACCCTTGATCATATTGTTCACTCTCTTCTGCACACATCAATATCCTTCTTGAACTGTGGTGCCCAGAACTGGACACAGTACTCAAGGTGTTGCCTGACCGAGGCAGAATTATTATTATTATTATTATTATTATTATTATTATTATTATTATTATTATTATTTAGACCCCGCCCTCCTCAGCCAGGACCGGGCTCAGGACGGCTAAAATCAAAGTAAAAAGGTAAAGGGACCCCTGACCAAAGTATGATACATTAAAAACATAAATCAAACAATCAATTAAAATACATCTTAAAATCAAATTTGGAGCAGATTATAACTATAGGGGATGGGGAACACCAAATGCTTACTAGGCCCAACTGTTTGTGCTGGTCATATATGAAAGGGTTAGGGAGGCCACTTACACACTGGGTCTTATAACAAAAAGGGGGGGTCAGACTGGGCCCCAGCCAAAGGGCTGTCAGAACAGCTCCATCCTGCAGGCCCTGCAGAAAGATGTCAAATCCCACAGGAACCTGGTCTCTTGCGACAGAATGTTCCACCAGGCTGGGGCCAGGGCCAAAAAGCCCCTGGCTCTGGTCGAACCCAGTCTAACCTCCTTGAGGCCTGGGATCTCCAAGATGTTATTGTTTGTGGACTGTAAGGTCCTCCACAGAGCATACCAGGAAAGGCAAACCCATAAGTACGAGGGTCCTAGGCCTTATAGGACTTTAAATAATAGAGTGGTACTATTACTTCCCTTGACCTGGATACCTGATGCAGCCTAGAACTGCATTAGCATTTTTTTGCTGCTGCATCACACTGTTGACTCATGTTAAGCTTGTGGTCTACTAAGACCCCTAGATTCTTTTCACCTGCACTGCTGTCAGTCCACGTGTCCCCATCCCATATTTGTGCATCTGATCTTTCCTAAGTGTATAACCTTACATTTGTCCCTATTAAAATTAATTTTGTTAATTTGGACCTAGTTCTATACTCTGTTGAGATCATCCTGAATCCTGATTCTATCTTCTGAGGTATTCGCTATCCTTCCTAGTTTGGTGTCATCTGCAAATTTGATGAGCATGCCCTCAATTCTTTCATCCAAGTCATTTATAAAGATATTGAACAAAACCAGACCCAGGAAAGAACCCCACAGCAGCCCGCTTGACACTTTTCTCCAGGATGATGAGGAACTATTAGCGAGTACTCTTTGGGTTCAGTCAGTCAAATAGGGTTATTTAAAACGTCTTTGCACATTTCATAATCTCATCTGTGAACAAATTATAAGTATGCTTTGACTTTGAGGCAGAGGTCTACAATAGATACTCATAAGCAAGAGTGGAACTCCTCATATACACAAGAGTAGGTATGGGACTACTGGTATGAGTTTGGTCTGCAACTCCCATGTGACCACCCATTTGCAACTGAAAATATAGACCAATCAACGGCAAGCCAATCTTAAATAATGTTAGTCAAATTCAATTAAACTCAAACTTCTTGCAGCTGTATCCTTTTACTAAATTCCAAGCTACTTGGATTAGTCAGGCTTAGCAGTGTCCAAAAAGTCAAGGTGCAACACCTTGTAAATATTAAGCAAAATTATTTCTTTTTGAGTATCACTGCAGGGTATGTGGCTTGAATTACAAATTGATACCTTTGCTGTGTTACGGGTTGATGGTGTACATAACCAGTTTCTGTAGGGTCAAGAATATATGAATATTTGTTACTTTCAACTCACATCTTTCAATATTATATGCATTCAGATATTAAATTATAGCTGCAGATAGAGTATATAATTGACTAATAGTCATTTGATGTGAAGTTGTACTTTGGGCAAAGACATTGTCCTTTGGGGGGCTGACATATGAACATCATAATCTAAGAGCCTAGTAGTTCAGACCAATGGCCTGCCACATTCCTTTAGAAATCATACTGGAACAAATCTAATCGTTAGAGTAGATTTATTTGTTTTATGTTCAAACTGAAGCAAGGATTCTCAGCTAGTAAAGCCTTGTTGATTTTCCAGAGTTGTTACATACACTGTTTTCTTATCTTCTGCAGGCTGTGTGCTCTGCAGACATTTTAAGTACTGTAATTAATATTTAGAATTTACACCCTGAGTCAGAACCTCCAGTCAGCATTTTCACATAATTTCTATTGACCTTAGTAGGAGTTTGGTACTTTGGAAGATAAGAAGATGGGTGATCTTTTCCGAGTACTAAAGGACTGATTTGCAGCCAATGGGCAATCCAGCCTTTGGAAATACTTATGCTGTCTGATACACAGTGAATTATATTATATTAGTAGGAAAACCACAAACTCAGAAAAATGCTCCAAAAATGCAGTTAGTTAATCCATGGCACTTATGACAGAGGATGGGGAATGAGGCTCTGGGAAGCATGTGGCCCTCCAGATGTTGTTGGACTCAAACTCCTCTCATCGCTAAGAATTAGCCATGCTGGTTGGAACTGATGTGAAGTTAAGTCCGGCAACCTCTGGAGGACCACAAGTTCCTCCTGCCCAGTTTAACTTAGACCTGAACGTTGCTGATGCCTTTCTCAGAGGTAGATAGTATCACAATTGCACAAGTTTTCCAAAATGCCTCTTGGAACTCGAAATGAGCCTCGAGAGAGAGACTGTGCATGTAGCTGACACCGTTTTCTTGGAAGAGCGTGTGCCTGAGTGTTCCAGATGTCAGTCTTGTTATCCGGAGGATTAAGATGAAAATTCTCTCTCTTGATACAACATGCCACAACATTTGCAGGTCTGAAATGAGAACAAGTAGAATCCTCGTTAAATAATGTAGCATCAAGAACTAAGTCCGCAGTCCTAAACTAGGAGTAAGTTGCACTGAACACAATGGGATTTATTTCTGAGTAAACAAGCACAGCATTGATCATGTTCTCCATTATAAGACTCCTGAAACATATATATATAAAGCTTTTTAAAAAATTGTTGTTTATCCCACCTTTCAACCACAATATCTCTGAGGTAGCATGCAAATCAAAGAATTTCTAACATGCAAAATTTCAAATTAAACCACAATTTAAAGATCTACTGGGCAAAGATGGGTATGAGGACAGCAGTCATTAACTATGCCTGAATGCCTGGCAAAAGACTAAAGAGCTTTTACAGGGCACCTGATGAATCAGTCTGGGGAAGGAGTTTATAACCTGCAGGCAGCCCACCTCAGTTCTAAAGTGGAATCACAAAGACCAGGTCCTTCCCTAAAGATCTTAACAAATGGACAAGTTTATAAGCGTGGGCAATCTTCCAGGTAGCCTGGCCCCCCAGATCATTTATTCCTTTATAGGTCTAAACCAGGACTTTGAACTGTTTCTGGAAACGAGCTGGCAATCACTGCAAACCTTTAAACACTGGTGAAATATACTCCCATCTACCCATCCCATTTTACGGATGAACTGTTGTAATCTGATCAGTTGAAACTTCCAGTCGGTCTTCAAAGGCTGCCCTAGATCTAACACACTAGAGCAGTCTATTCTAGATTCTATGGGAACAAGGTTGAAAAATGAGGTGTGCCTACAAATGTAAAGCATGAAAGCAATGAACAGGTGTTGAAGAACTTTATATAATGTGCATTATGCACATCTTGGCTATGAGTCCTAGAAGACATGCTCCCTGCCTTGCAGACCTTTTTCTTCCTGGCCTTGGGAGGGCAGGACCCTGACTGACTGAGGTTGGGGAACAGAATCTTGGTCTGAGTATTGCTTAGGGGGTTAGGGTTGTTGCTGTTATTGATGTTATTTTTTCATATCTTTATTTTGTATCTTATTATTTAGATAGAAAGTTTTCAATTTGGTTGTGCACTTTTTGATGCTTTGTTTCTTGCTAATGATACTTTCGTTATGCCTGTAGTTATGTTGTTTTTTGTGTGTTGTAAGCAGCCTTGAGCATGGTTTTAATTTTAGAAATGTGGCATACAAATAAAATGATTGATTGATGCACATTGAAAAAGATTTGTGATGAAGAAGAAGAAGAAGAAGAAGAAGAAGAAGAAGAAGAAGAAGAAGAAGAGGAGGAGGAGGAGGAGGAGGAGGAGGAGGAGTTTGGATTTGATATCCCGCCTTTCACTCCCCTTCAGGAGTCTCAAAGCAGCTAACATTCTCCTTTCCCTTCCTCCCCCACAACAAACACTCTGTGAGGTGAGTGGGGTTGAGAGACTTCAAAGAAGTGTGACTAGCCCAAGGTCCCCCAGCAGCTGCATGTGGAGGAGCGGAGACGTGAACCCGGTCCTCCAGATTACGGGACTACCGCTCTTAACCACTACATCACACTGGCTCTCCTTGAGGTCCCTTCCAACTCTAGAATTTTATGATTCTACGACTGCTCTGCAAAATAAATACTATGTATTCAGTGGACTACTATGGAGGTGGGAAGCAGTCAGATCTCCCATTTTTAGCAAAGCGGTATGGCTTGACAGAAGCTACTGCCACATGGTGATCTTGCTGATCAGTTTTGTCCATTTGTCCATCCTTCCCTGACTTGAAATGCTAACTTAGATTCTGAGCATGCTCAGATCAAGGCAAGCTCCTTTAGCCCACATCCAGAAATGATCAAACCCATTTCTTGCTGATATTCTTGCCAATTGCTGCAAAATCATGCCACCATTCAGAAGTTGTGCAAAAAAGAGAGAGAGAGAGTTAGAGACACCCTCTCAGGACTGCATCTACCGGGAGGTCACCATGGTCTTTGTGTGTTCCCAGTGTGTTCTGGCTGCCACATCCAGGTGCTTGGCTTGAAAGATGCATATGCAGAGGGAAGGCAAATTAAATTATTGCATATGTGGTGGGGGCAGCACACATCACCCCACAACGGAAGCAGATTTGTTTTCTTAACACAATTAACACTCTGCATGGGAAGGAAATCTAGTATTCATTGCTAGTTTGAATTAATAGCTCTAGAGCTGATAGGAGGGTTACCTGCCTGCTCTGTTTTATGTTTTCCTAATGGAAAATGGGCTATCTAACAACTCGGTTCTTCTTTCGTGGGTTTTGGTCATAAAGGAAGTTAGCATTCGAAACGTAGCTTGGCTGATCAAACAAGAACGAGTGGGAAAGCTCCTTGGCAGGATCTCTATAGGAACTTGGCTTCCATACAGTGAAAATACACTGCAGATGTATAAATTATGAAAGCTGGGACAGTGCTGGTCAAAATCTTCCATGCTGGAGTCATGTGGGAAAGAGAGTCTAGACATCCTAGATTAACTTATTTCTTTTACACTTGTGCAATCTAGACGCTGCGTAACGAAACGAAACCAGCAAAGTGCACAGATGTAACACTATGTCACCAAATGTCCCTGTGTGAGCACCATAGTCAGTCTGCAGGTGGTGGTGGGGGAGAGACTTGTAGGAAATATCCTGATGTCCATATGTTTATTATCATTATAATTAACCAGTTGATACTGGGACGCATGGAGAAGAAAACCCTTTTTTTTTTTTAGGACTCACAGCCCATGGTTTTAGATGTCCTTAATGCTTTTAAATGTTCAGTTGTTCAGATCCTTGGTGGCAGATCAACACAGAGTCATAGGGAGATGCCTTATAGTGAGTTGGGCCATTGGTCCATCTACCTCAGTAATGTCTACACTTACTGGCAGAGGTTTCAGGCATGGAATCTGTGGGAATGTTGAGGAAAGTAGGAGTAGATATATTGATTAAATATTATCCCTCCTCACTCCTGCTAGTGAGCAAGCAGCAGAGCACATTCCCTTGCAGATTGCTGGAAGCAAGTTGATGGATTCGTTAGAATCATTTAAGCTAAGCTATCCAGTCTGGCTTGTCCAGTCTGGATTGTTCCTGGTAAGTTTCCCCTTTTATTTCCCTCTTAAAATAATAATAGCAGGACAGTCTTGTTTAAAAGTAAGGGTAAAGTTGACTTACATTCAGTTCACAGTAGTATTCTGAAGGCAGATTTCAATTTGTGGTTACAGTTACATTTGTAGAGAAAAGAAGTCTGAACTACGCCTCCGACCTTGTGGCTTACATCCTCTGTAAGGAGAGGCAAAGAGCAAAAGAGGAAGATGGCTGCGTGACTAGCCCTTTTTCAGGGTCTGCTAGGGTCACGTCCATCTACCTGGTCACACACAGGAGGAGGAGGTTCCAGAGCAGGTATGACAGGAAGTCCTCCCTGTCTGGAGCAACATTCCCCTGTGTGTCCACTCTAGGCAACAGGAAATGTTGTATTTGACTGCTTCAGTGATGATACACCCCACAGAATCTTTATCAGCCAGGGATTGAACCCAGGACTTTTGGCATGCAAAGCAGGTGCTCTACTGTGGAGCTATGAATCCGCTCATCAGAGGGTAACTAACCATTTGCAAAAGAAAACAGACTTCCCACACCAACGGGTGGTGAACTTGTTGCAACTCATGGACTGGCTTAGGCCTGCCAACCCATTGTCAGTGGCCAACCTGACCTCGACTTAACTTAGCGGAGTTGCATCTTCTTCCTCTTGCCCACCATTGAAACCAGGTCAGAGTGCTCCAGATACAGGAAGGATTGCTCCCATTGCAGTGTTGGGCTGTGATGGAGACAAAATCCCTATCTCGGCTCTTCAGAGATTGACCTCTAGCGATATAGAGCAATTCCCCCTCACTGTGCCTCTGCTAATAGACAGACGAGCATATCCGCCAGTTCATGTAGATGCGTAAGAGTGAAAGCAGGTGCGGGGTAGTTGTTCCCCCTTCAGTGATTCCTGCTTTCACTTAGAACAGGTCCCCTGTTGGTGTGTGGCCCTCAAGACAGTTGGCCAACAGCAAGCACAGCCCTTCAGGCTGAAAAAGCCTAGCTGCCCCTGCTCTGATAGTTGTGGAAGAGCACATTTCCATGGGCACAGCTTGAATGGCAGGGGTGCTCACAATGGCATTCCCTTCCCTTTGCACAATTATTAAGGATCCAGGGACCTTGTTCTCTTTTGCATTTGATCATTGGCGAGAAAGGATTGCAGTCTGCTGAATGCTGTGGTGGCACCATAAAAATACAGTGGTACCTCTGGTTGCGAATGGGATCCATTCCGGAGCCCCGTTCGCAACATGAGCAGAATGCAACCCGCGTCTCCGCATGTGCAGGTCGCGATTTTGAGTGTCTGCGCATGCGCGAGCGGCGAGACCCGGAAGTAACCCTTTCCAGTACTTCCGGGTCGCTGCAGGACGCTACCTGAAAAGACGTAACCTAAACCAAACATAACAAGAGGTATGACTGTATTGGGGCAGAGGGCACAAAAGAGGTAAGCTTTGTCCCACATGTCAGATTTCTGAAAAAGAGATAGAAGTATATTTTATATTAGCATGCCCATTTTAAATAGATTTTCTCTGATAGCCCTGACAACTTTGCAGGGACCAGAGCAGCCTCGCCATCAGTGATGCCAGCTTGCTTAACCCTCCCTTCATCTTCATGTCTTAGCTTTATTTTCATTCCATACAAAGAAGGCCAATTCATGGGTTTCTCTGATTGATGTTTTTTTGGAATTGATTTGAAGTACTTGGTTTGTAGCAAAGCAACCTGCACCACATATTCAACTATAATATTTTTAGATATATCCAGGTAAAGGAATCAGAAGCGCATGAATTTATTCCCTGAATGGAAGGAGCATGGATTCAATTCATATGGCTGTATTAGGGAAGAGAGACGAGGGGGAACACTGTCTTATTAAAGAAGTTTCTGCAGCACAACGCCTAGCTTGTTGGCTGGAGATCAGCTTCGTTTTGTTTATATTCGCACATCCTGAAACTGCTCAAACCCAGACCC